TTCGGGTGATCCTGGCACAGTCAGGCTGGTAAGGCTCATCATCAGCTCAGGGCCTTTGCCCCTCTACACGCAGCCCAGACAGCGAAACGCTGCATATTCGAACCCGCCAAGAACTTTCCGGAGAATATGAAGGCTCCCCAACACTGCAGCCTTCTGCATTACCCAGAGTGTCAGAAGGGCTGTGGTCCCGATGGAGAACCGGGCACTCTCCTGATCTGTGCTAAGAGATCAGGAGGTACCAAACAAAATTACCGAGAACAATGGGGAGCCTGACGACAGTGTACTTAGGATGCAAGCGAGACATTTCAAAGGCGAGGTCCACATATTTATCATGCTTTTCCTGAATCTTGCCAATCACGTTGCTGTCAAAAGGGACAGAAAATTCAATGATATAAATAAATTCATTTGCGTTAACAAAATGGACAAGATCAGGTTTGTTGTCTGGAATTCTTCTCAGGCTGCATATAGGCCTATTCCACAGAAGTTTGAGAAGCATCATTTTCCATGACGCCCTGGACATGTTCAGGGGTCATACCATGGATGGACATCGGAGTCAAAGCCACAGGCATGGCGGAGACGGTAGTAAAAGCAACGAGCCATGCCATCATGTCGTTTAAGATATGCTGTTTGTGCCAAAGAAGGGCATCCATTGATTGACAAGGTGTTGGAGAGTCCTGTAAATTCATTGCAAAGTCGGCATTTCATATACTTATTTTTATTATGTGAATGGTGAGGTTATGATGTACGTGCCACGGCGAGTAGGGAAAGAGAGTGAGGTGTGTTTGGTGAATGTGCAGATGGTGAGGTATGATGTACGTTCAACGGCGAGTAAGGGGGAAGAGTGAGTGTGTTTTGGTGAATGTGCGAATGGTGAGGAATATGATGTACGTACCACGGCGAGTAGGGAAAAAGAGTGAGTGTGTTTGGTGAATGTGAATGGTGAGGTATGATGTACATGCCACGGCCAGTAGGGGAAAGAGAGTGAGTGTGTTTGGTGAATGTGCGAATGGTGAGGTATGATGATGTAATGCCACGGCCAGTAGGGGAAAGAGAGAGTGAGTGCGTTTGGTGAATGTGCGAATGGTGAGGTATGCTGTACGTGCCACGGCGAGTAGGGGAAAGAGACTGAGTGAGTATGTTTGGTGAATGTGCGAATGGTGAGGTATGATGTACGCATGCCACGGCGCGGCAGTAGGGAAAAGAGAGTGAGTGTGTTTGGTGAATGTGCGAATGGTGAGGTATGATGTACGTGCCACGGCGAGTAGGGGAAGGAGGGTGAGTGTGTTTGGTGAATGTGCGAATGGTGAGGTATGATGTAATGTGCCACGGCGAGTAGGGGAAGGAGGGTGAGTGTGTTTGGTGAATGTGCGAATGGTGAGGTATAATGTACGTGCCACGGCGAGTAGGGGAAGGAGGGTGAGTGTGTTTGGTGAATGTGCGAATGGTGAGATATGATGTACGTGCCACGGCGAGTAGGGGAAGGGAGGGTGAGTGTGTTTGGTGAATGCGCGAATGGTGAGATATGATGTACGTGCCACGGCGAGTAGGGAAAGAGAGTGAGTGTGTTTGGTGAATGTGCGGATGAAACTTTGACAGCTGCATATATGAACTATCGTAAACAAGACAGGTTTAGCTAATGAATTATATTAACTTTGTGACAATTGTCAATATATAATAAGTGCGAAAAGAGAATTGTACTTTCAGGTTATCAAGAGAACAAGAGGACACTTTGACAAAACATATCTTAATGATGTGCATCTAAATGTTCTCACTATGATTGACCAGAAGCAGTACATTCATTTTGTGACATTTCAAAGGTATAATTTGTCCTGCTTCCTATGGCTTGTTGACGGTTAGCGGTTTACATTTCTTTTGATGGATTTTGAAAACACATAAATGAGATAAGAGAAGATAATTAAACTAAGCATCCAAGGACTTGTCTGATGGGTGAAGCGTAAAAGTGGCACATCAATGTTCTGTTGACTGGAATATGTTGTCATGAAAACAGAAACCGTTAGCGCCTAGAACAGGCAAACGTTAGTGAATATGGGTGCAGGCACGTGTTTGTGGTGGTTGGAATAGCCTTGACGCAGGTGGGACTTATTGTGTTGGTCCCCTGAGATGTACATCCTCCTAATTATCAAAGATACGATACTCCATCATGTGGCGATTTAACCGACACCATCAGACTTGTCCATGTCGCATACCCTTAGAAGCATCTCTAGATGGAGAAACAATAACTTGCATATTAAATGTCTATTTGTATGATACATACGTGGATCGACCGATCCACCTTTCGTTCACAGAGCAGACGTCTGTCTGCAAGTCTGAGGAGGTAGCCAGTGGATCGAACCAGCCAGCGACACCAATCCCCCACCACCCCCACCCCCACCCCACCCCGACCCCCGCTCTCTCGCACAAGCGTCTGTTCAACAGCCAACTGTGGTATCTAGGGTATTGAACTTGTCTCTGGGTAGACGTCCATCCTGCCAGCCCATGGAGGCAGCGAGGGGATGACGCGGTCGGGAATCTTGATAGACGCTCTATCTGCCAGCCCACGGAGGCAGCGGTGGCTAACACAATCAACCCTACAAATGTCTGAGTAGACATCTGTCTGCCACCATCAAACGTCTGATCTGTGGACAGATGTCTATCTGCTGCTAGCCCATGAAGACAGCGAGGGGTCGAACCACTAAGTATCTATTATCTGGGTAGACGTCTATCAGCCAGCCTCACGGCTACAGTGAAGGGATACAACAACCGACCGTTCTGTCTCTGGGTAGACGTCTATCAGCCAGCCTCACGGCTACAGTGAGGGGACACAACAACCGACCGTTCTGTCTCTGGGTAGACGTCTATCAGCCAGCTCACGGCTACAGTGAGGGGACACAACAACCGACTGTTCTGTCTCTATGCAGACGTCTATCAGCCAGCTCACGGCTACAGTGAAGGGATACAACAACCGACCGTTCTGTCTCTGGGTAGACGTCTATCAGCCAGCTCACGGCTACAGTGAGGGGACACAACAACCGACTGTTCTGTCTCTATGCAGACCTCTATCCAGCCAGCTCACGGCTACAGTGAAGGGATACAACCACCGACCGTTCTGTCTCTGTGTAGACGTCTATCAGCCAGCTCACGGATTGAGCGAGGGGATCTAACCGCCGACCGTTCAATCTCTGGGTAGTCGTATATCTGCCAACCCACGGTTTGCAGTGACGGGATCGAATCACCGACTGTCTCATCTCTGGGTAGACGTCTATCTGCCACCCACGGTTGCAGGTGAGGGATCGAATCACTGGGTAGATTCTATCTGCCGGCTCACAGACCCAGCGAGGGGATAGGAACCACCGACTGCCTCATCTCTTGACAGACGTGTATCTGCCAGCTAATGGAGGCAGCGAAGGGATAGAGCAACCGTTCAATCTCTGGACAGACGTCTATCTGTCAGCCCACGGAGACAGCGAATCTATGACAGTGTCGAGAATCAAACTTTTTAACAAAAACAGAATTAAAAATCAATATTAAAAAACAACACTATTTCGATACTCTTTTATTCAATACTAACCATCAAGCAAAGATTGACTAACAGCCTTCCATCACAATATATGTGACATCATCACTTATATACATGTGTGTATTTGTTTATGAATTAGCTATACGACTGGGGTAATGGGAACAATCGAGCTGAACTACACACATTCGGTGATTGCTATTGTGAGCAACGGTACATGGCGTGAGAGGAAAGAGCACCTGCTATCGCCCAATCCCTGATATCAACTCTTTAGTACAGGCCAGGTTGCAGTGGTTCCCTACACCTGTTCTCACCTGTAATCCCCACTGACATTTGTTTGCTTTTTAATACATCAAACCAACTTCCCCTGGGATAATAAAGCATCAACTAATCGCAAAGTAAGCATTACCATTAGAAGAGAGTGAGAGGGTTTGCACCCCCCTTTAAAAAGTTTTTTCAAGTTGTATCACGGTTTATTACCGTGGGGAGAAGACTTGAATTTACAGGTCTGGAATTTTCACCACATTACTGAAAAGAATACGATTGGAAACCAAAGAGATATAATATAAGTTGTTCACTGGTCATGAGGGGGGCATACGTTGATGTCCCCTCGATGTTTGTTTGTGTTCCATGTCGTGGAGGGGCGGTGGGTAGCCTAGTGGTTAAAGCGTTGGCTCGTCACGCCGAAGACCCGGGTTCGATTCCCCACATGGGCACAATGTGTTAAAGCCCATTTCTGGTGTCCCCGCCGTGATATTGCTGGAATATTGCTAAAAGCGGCGTAAAAACTAAACTCAGTCAGTCAGTCAGTCCATGTCGTGGAACATAAACAAACATCGCGGGTATATCAACCCATGGGCCCCGAGGGACCAGTGTACAACATATTTATCTTACCGAACACCTTAATGTTAATTTTAAATTCATTGAATCACGGGTACAAATCTTTTGTAGCCGTCGCTAGATTTTGCTGAGAAGAAAAACAGATTTAAGAGTTATCTCCTTTCCATCGATTTGCATATCACAAAACATCGGTAATTTCCGTACATCATACGTGATTCAATGTTATTCGAGATAAATAATTACTACCACGAAGTAACAAATGAGTTTACCATTGACAGCGGGGTACATTGAAATGTTACTCGCTTGTAAGCGGGTACATTGAAAATAACAGAAGAGCGCTCAGCCAATCAGAAAGCGACATTTATGTGTGAGGTAAGATAAGAGCTGATATACCTGACAGTATAGACACAACTGCTTCCGTTAGTATAAGATTGGAGAGTAAACAAGGACAGAAATCAAACGGGTCAGATTTGTACTTTGTAACCCTATCAGTCCCTGGATGTTACACATATAGGGCATGACACTTTTCCCAGCGTGTATTACCATCAGTGGTGTAACACCACAAATACCCCGAACGAGATGGGTCACGGCAGTAGTTAGCAGATCCTGTGACAGTTTGGGAGTGTCAACTCCTGGGATGGAGAACTTAAAGTCTTCCTTGACGCTGTGGGTTTTGTGGCGACTGAGAATCCCATCGCTGACAGACCTTGCCAGTTATTGTTGCTGATAGAGTTCCGGTGTAAAACGCTTTTCCAGCATTTATCGTCCAGCAGCTAGAGACTGTCAAGGAAAACAAATCAGTTGATAAAAAATACCAATCATCATGGGTCTAGCTGAACAAAGGGAAATAAATGCGTCAAGACGGAATAGAGGTGAGGTGAGTTGAGGAGTGAGGTGAAATGGGGTTTAACGTCGTGCCTGAGAACATTTCGCTCATATGACCACGTGCATGCGTGTGTATGTGTATGTGCGGCTGCTTGTACTAGCCCAGACTGAAGCTGGTTTTATAATGCTAGCCCACTGAGATACCATGCCGCAGTGAAGCATGAATTCCCCACTCAGTATATACTGACTCCGAGCCGACCAGTCCTTTGTTGTACCCATAAATGCCGAGCCAGGCAGGGACCAACAAAGTACCACATTTTAACGTCTTTGGTATGACGCGGTCGGGGATCGAACCCGCGACCTTCCACTCTCGGGCGGACGCTCTTACCACTACACCACGGAGGCGATCAGAAGAATAGGGGCTTTAAGGGGTATCATGCTCTTCTACTTCTTTCTAGTTGAAGTGGTAGTAGTAGTTGTTGTAATAGTAGTAATGTATCATTAGTAGTAGTAGTAGCAGTAGCAGCAGTAGTAGTAGTAGTAGTGGTGAGTGAGTTTAGCTTTACGCCGCACTCCAGCAATATTCCACCAGCATGTGGCGATCTGCGCAATTGAGAACCGATGGCATGTCTCAACTAAAGAGGCGAGCCTGATCACCCGATCCCGTTAGTCGCCTCTTACGACAAGCATGGGTTACTCAGGGTTCATTCTAACCCGGACCTTACGGATGTAGTAATGATAGAATAAAGCAGAAATAATTGCGGTATGTGATGTTACTATTCCCGATATCTGTACAGGAAGGCTCTCCGGTGGAAAGCATGCAACAATTAACAACTTTTTACTGTTAACAAGGTAAGATCAGTAGTAGCCGTATGAGGGACATAAGTACTACCTCGAAGTAGTCACGGTAGTAGTAGTAGTAGTTGTGAGAAGTCACATTAGTACCATTATTTGTAGTTAGTTAGTAAAGTAGTGATTAGTCAGTAATCATTATCAGTAGTAGTAGTAGTAGTAGTAGCAGTAATTATGGTGGTAGTAGTAGTAGCAAACTGTTAGTAGTAAGTAGCAGCAATTATGGTGGTAGTAGTAGTAGCAACTGTTGTAGTAGTAGTAGCAACTGTTGTAGTTAGGAGATGTAACTGTTGTATTAGTATTGTAGCAACTGTTTGTAGTAGTAGCAACTGTTGTAGTAGTAGTGGCAACTGTTGTAGTAGGATTAACTGTTGTAGCAGTAGTGGTAAGCAACTGTTGTAGTAGAGATGTAACTGTTGTAGTAGTGGTAGCAGTAGTAGTAGTAGTAGTAGCAACTGTTGTAGTAGTAGTGGCAACTCTTGGCAACTGCTGTAGTAGTAGTAGCAACTGTTGTAGTAGTAGTAGCAACTGTTGTAGTAGTAGCAGTGAGTAGTGAGTAGTAGTAGCAACTGTTGTAGTAGTGAAGTAGCAACTCTTGCAACTGTTATAGTAGAGTAGTAGCAACTGTTGTAGTGAGTAGTAGCAGTAGTAGTAGTAGTAGTAGTAGTAGCAACTGTTGTAGTAGTGGCAGCAACTGTTGCGTGAGTAGTAGTGCTGGTGCAGTAAAGTAGTAGTAGTAGCAACTGTTGTAGCAGTGAGATAGCAACTGTTGTGAGTAGATGAGCGGTAAAGTGCAGTAGTAGTAGTAAAGCAACTATTGTAGTAGTAGTAGCAACTCTTGCAACTGTTGTAGTAGTAGTAAAGCAACTGTTTGCAGTGAGCAGTAGCAGTAGTAGTGAGTAAGTAGTAGTGGCAACTGTTGTGAGTAGTAGTAGTAGCAGCTCTTGCAACTGTTGTAGTGAGTAGTAGCAACCGTTGTAGTAGTAGTAGCAGTAGCAGTGAGTAGTAGCAGTAGTAGCAACTGTTGTAGTAGTAGTAGCAACTGTTGTAGCAGTGAAGTAACAACTGTTGTAGTGGTAGTAGCAGTTAGTAGTAGCAGGTGAGTGGTAGCAACTGTTGTAGCAGTAAGTAGCAACAATCTACAGCTGTTGTAGTAGTAAGTAACAACTGTTGTGCAGTGGTAGCAACTGTTGTGAGTAAGTAGCAGTAGTGAGTAGTGCAGTGGCAAACTGTTGTGAGTAGTGGTAGCAACTGTTGTAGCGGCAGATTAGCAACTGTTGTGCAGATTAGTGGCAACCTGTTGTAGTAGTAGTGGCAACTCTTGCAACTGTTTGTAGTGAGTAAAGTGTAGCAGCTGTTGCAACCTGTTGGCAGTAGTAGTGGCATCTACATTGCAGTGAGTAAAGCAACTGTTGTGAGCAGTGCCAGCAACTGTTGTAGTAGTAGTGGCAAACTGTTGTAGTAGTAGCAGCAACTGTTGTAGGAGTGGTGCCAACTGTTGTAGCAGTGATGTAGCCGCTGTTGTTAGTAGTGAGTGGCAGTGTTATGGTGGTAGCAGTGTAGTGGCAACTGTTGTGGTAGTGAGTATTAGCAACTGTTGTAGTAGTGAGTGTAAACTGTTGTATTAGTAGTAGCAACTGTTGTAGTAGTGGATAGTGAAGTAGCAACTGCTGTGGAAGAGTTAGTGCAGCGCAAATGTTGTGCAGCAGTGAGTAGCAACTGTTGGTAGTGCAGTGGCAACCTGCTCTTGTGTGCAGTAGTAGTGGCAGCTGTTACAGACTGTTGTAATAGTAGTAGCAACTGTTGTGAGTAGTGAAGTAGCAACTGTTGTAGTGAGTAGTAGTAGTAGCAGTAATTATGGTGGTAGTAGTAGTAGCAACTGTTGATGTAAATGTAGTAGCAGCTGTTGTTGCAGTAGTGTAGTAGCAACTGCTGTAGAAGCAGTAGCAACTGTTGTAGTAGTAGTAGCAACTGTTGTGTGGTAGTAGTAGTAGCAGCAACTGCTGTAGTGGTAGTAGCAACCGTTGTAGAAGTAGTAACCCAACTCTTGCAACTGTTGCAGTAGTAGTAGCAACTGTTGTGGCAGTAGTAGCAACTCTTGCAACTGTTGTGAGCAGGTAGCAGCTGTTGCAGCTGTTGTGCAGTAGTAGCAACCGTTGCAGGTAGTAGTAGCAACTGTTGCAAACGTGGTGTAGTGATAGCAGCAGCCATGGTGGTACTGTAGTGGTAGCAGCAACCGTTGTAGCAGTAGCAGCATGGCAACCGTTGCAGTAGCAGCAGTAGCAGTAATTATGGTGGTAGTAGCAGCAGCAACCGCTTGTAGTAGCAGTAGCAACCGTTGCAGTAGTAGTAGTAGTAGCAACTGTTGTAGCCAGTGATAGTTGCAGCAACCGTGCAGCAGTAGCAGTGCAACAACTGTTGTAGATAGTGAGTAGCAGTAGTAGCAGCAACCGTTGTGGTAGTAGTAGTAGCAACTGTTGCAGTAGTAGTAGCAGCAACCGCTGCAGTGGTGGTAGTAGCAACTGTTGTAGCAGTAGTAGCAGCAAATTGTGGTGGTAGCAGTAGCAGCAACTGTTGTAGTAGTAGTAGTAATTACTGTTGCAGTAGTAGCAGCAGCAACCGTTGTAGTAGTGCAGTAGTAGCAACCGTTGTAGCAGTAGCAGGTAGCAACCGTTGTTAAAGTAGCAGTAGCAGCAACTGCTGTAGTAGTAGTGAAAGCAACTGTTGTAGCAGTAGCAGTAGCAACCGTTGCAGTAGTAGTAGCAGCAACTGTTGCAGTAGTAGCAGCAACTGTTGTAGTAGTGGTAGTAGCAACTGTTGTAGTAGTAGTAGCAACCGTTGCAGTAGTAGCAGTGTAGCAGTAGTAGCAGTAATTATGTGCAGTAGCAGCAACTGTTGTAGTAGTAGTAGGCTAGCAACCGTTGTAGTAGTAGCAGGCAACTGTTGTTGCAGTAGTGGTAGCAACTGTTGTAGTAGCAGTAGTAGCAACTGCCGTAGCACAGCAACCGTTGCAGGTAGTAGTAGTAGCAACTGTTGTAGTAGTAGTGCAGCAACTGCTGTTGTAGTAGTAGTAGCAACTGGTTGCGTAGTAGTAGCTAAAACCGTTGTAGCAGTAGTAGTAGCAACTGTTGTAGTAGTAGTAGTAGTAGCAACCGTTGTAGTAGTAGTAGTAGCAACTGTTGTAGTAGTAGTGGCAGTAGCAGTAGTAGTAGTAGTAATAAGACCAGCAGTAGCAGCAACAGTAGTAGTTGTCATTATTATTATCACCATGCCAATATTATATATCAGACTTAGTAACAGGTTCAGTTTGCAGTTGTGATTATTGGACGAGACTGAGCAGGGGAAATCGAGGCGTGTAGGCTGTACTTATATTTTCAATAGAACTTCAAGACGTTTTCATTTTGACATTAAACTAGGTTGCATCCTTACTGTTGACGCACTTCACGTTGACCATGGTCCAGTGCCCATCTTTCTGACACAAGCTCATCATCTGTTCACCAGGGTATATGCTAAGAAAACCCTTCTTGCATCTGTAGTTGGCAATGGCGTGAAGACCTGTTGAGCTGTAGACAACGTCTGTGCCTCCTGCAGGAGTTGGAGAACCACAATCCACTCTCAGCTCCGACGTCAGGCTGGCTGTAAAGTAAATCAACATAGAGACATTATGAAAGTCCTATGCTGCTATTGACAACTATATGATTATCGATATGAGTACAGTGCGTTGATGCTATTTGCTCAGAGTAAGAAAAAAATGTTTTGGCGTATGAGTCCACAAAAAGACTCAGGAAGCACAAATGACCCTGCAATGTCCAGCATATCTCAAACTCAGCATAATTGGCCCATTCAAACTCATACCAGACGCCTTAGGTAGGAAAGCATTCACAGGTGTAAGTGTGTAAGTGTGGAGTGAGTTTAGTTTTACGCCGCACTCAGCAATATTCCAGCTATACTCAGCAGCAAAAAACACGTCAGTACGAATTCAAAATTAGATAGGCACTGTAATCAAATCATTACAGAAATGGACATGATTAGCGGATCAAAAACATTTTTTGTATACAATTTCTTGACACATCAATGAATAAATCCATTCCAGGATCTTCACTTCAGTATCTGGTGTGACCACCACGAGCGGCAATAACAACTGCAGCACATCGTTTATGCATTGAGTGCACCAATCGATTGATGAAGGCCATTGGCACCTTGAACCACACTCTGAGAAAGGCCTGGCACAATAAATCGACTGTGTTCGGCCTTGGTATGACATTATTCAGTCTCCTCTGAATTTCAACCAAAGGTTTAAATCAGGCCTAAGGGCTGGCCACTGCATAATGTTGACACCGTTCTGCTGTAGGAAGTCCCGTGTAGCTCTGGCAGTATGGGCCCAGGCGTTATCATGCTTGAAAATGTTGTTCCGGTGACGTGCGAAATGTGGTATGACGTGAGGTCTGAGAGCTTGGTCGATGTAGCGCACCGCTGTGATGCCGCCTCCTCTCCCTGGACCAAGGTTCTGCAACACCACAGAACCCACTCTCTGGTTCAGGCATATTCCATTCCATACCATTATGCTTGCACCTCCCCATGAGTCTCTTTCCATAACACATTGGTCTGAGTAACGCTGGCCACGTCGTCGCAATATTCTTGTTCTGCCATCTGCAGTTGATACGCAGTACCAACTCTGATCTGTGAACAGAACAGTTCTCCATTGCCTGTATCGCCAGTTTTGGTGTTGTAGGGCAAACTGTAGACGTTCACGCCGAGGACGATGGGTGAGGATAGGTCCACGTAAGGTCTACGGCAATGGAGGTTCCCGCTGTTAAGACGTCTGCGTACTGTATCAGTACTGATTGGTCTTCCGTGTGTTCCCCACTGTCTGGCGTGCTGTTTCGGATGCCTGCATGAAGGGATTCTGTACATGCTGCCGCACAACACATGGCGGTCTTGTCGTCTTGTGGTCACCCTTGGTCTGCCAGTACGGAGGCGATCATTTGTGGTGTCGGTGGCCCGGAAACGTTGCTGCAGCCTGTAGATGGTCCGAACATTGACCTGGAAGTGATTGGCAGCGGCTTGTGCAGTGTGGCCAGCTTCAAGTCTTCTTAGCGCCTGATTCCTCTGAACTGTCGTGAGTCGCGTAATCCTGCTGACGTTGTTTTGTGAATGTATCAACCAGATTTAAAGGGATGCATATAGGCCTGGTCCTTGTGAACAGCACGTGCAGCATGAGTTGCATGAAAAACAAGGAGAACACCATACCATCTCCGAGGTCAGGTTGCGTTTCTGAGACCATTTCCTGGCTTCAGTTCTGAGTTTGGGAAGGAATGTCTTTGCTCAGATAAAGATGGAAATGTTGTCAATATATACAATCAGACCATTAATTACATGGGTTTACAGTTATACCTTTCTGCGAAGAAAATTTCCAAACTGACGTTTCTTTTGCTGCTAAGTATATATGGCTGCGGTCTGTAAATAATCGAGTATGGACTAGACAATCCATTGATCAACAGCATGAGCATCGATCTGCGCAATTGGGAACCGATGGCATGTGTCAACCAAGTCAGCGAGCCTGACCACCGATCCCGTTAGTCGCCTCTTACGACAAGCATGGGTTACTGAAGATCAATATTCTAACCCGGATCTTCACGGGTGTGTAAGTGTGAGTGTTCACGAGTGTGAGTGTGTGGGTGGGGCGTGGGTGTGGGTGTGGGTGTGTGGGGGTGGGGGTGGGGGAGTATGGGGAAGTGCGTGTGGGTATCTGTGTGCGCGCGCGCGTGTGGTGGTATGGATGTGTGTGTGCGCGCGCGTAGGTGCGCGCGCGGTGTGGCTATTGTTTCATGTAGTGGAAGAAATTTGAGAAGTTTCCTTGTAAAGGAATATCACCCTCCTGGCGAAGTGAAGATTTGGTCATGTGGCGGTAATGGTATAAAATCGATAGTCAGATGAATGCAGTCGGTTATACAATATCTACAAGAAATACGTATAACGAACTACGGTCATGAGTTCCTTATAACCGTACAGCCTCCGTCGTGTAGTGGTTAGAGCGTCCGGCCGGAGAGCAGAAGGTCGCGGGTTCGATCCCCGACTGCGTCATTCCAAAAGACGTTAAAATATGGTACTTGTTGGTCCCTGCCTGGCGCTCGGCATTAATAAGTACAACAAGGACTGGTCGGCTCGGAGTCAGTATACCTGTGTCTGGAGTGGGGTATTCATGCTTCACTGCAGCATTGTATCTCAGTGAGCTAGCACTATAAAACCAGCTTCAGTCTGGGCTAGTACAAGCAGCCGCACATACACATACACACGCATGCACGTCGTCATATGAGCGAAATATTCTCAAGCACGACGTTAAACCTCACCTCACCTCACCTCACCTCACCTCACCTCACCTCACACCTCACCTCACCTCACCTCACCTCACCTCACCTCACCTCACCTCTCACCTCACCTCCACCTCCCCACCTCACCTCACCTCACCTCACCTCACCTCACCTCACCTCACCTCACCTCACCTCACCTCCACCTCACCCTCACCTCACCTCACCTCACCTCACCTCACCTCCACCCTCACCTCACCTCACCTCACCTCACCTCACCTCACCTCACCTCACCTCACCTCACCTCCCCTCCACCCCTCACCTCACCTCACCCCACCCCTCACCTCACCTCACCTCACCTCACCTCACCTCACCTCACCTCACCTCACTATAACCATAGCCATAGCCACCCAAGGCATGGATCAGTTCAACATATCTTCTCCTGCTATGTTGAGGTCTAACATCGTTTCGTAGCTGAAGAACACAGGCCTCTTCCCAGGCTTGTTCCATCTTAAAATCCCAGTGGCCTTATAAATGTAAGCCCACCATTACCCTCATCCCTACCCCTCGGGATTTAAGCATTTCAGAGGCAAGTAAACATTAGATGTGTAGGTAAGTCTATTTTACTTGATTTAGAGATGCATTACATTGTGCTGTCTACACGTAACTGAACTAGGAACAGAACAACATAAAGCTATCAGAGAAAGGATTACGTACCGACTGTGTTCTCCAGGTCTTTAATACGCTTGTCCATAGCTTTCAGGCGGGTTGCTTTGCTTTCTGAAAATATCATTTGCAATTATTTCCCCTGGAGATTCAGGATTAGAATTGGTTCAGTTAGCTGAAACCAGAGCCCACGTGCTTGTATACTGTATATGTACACAAAGCTCACTGTGAAAATGTATTAAATATGTATCAGCTCACGAATAATACAGATTAAATATGTACCCAAGATCCCAGGTATATTGTATAAAATATAAAACCAACTCACTAACAGTTGCAGATTATATACTCAAGTGCTTAAGTACTCAAGCTTATTTCGACAATAATTTGGCCTACATTATATATATTGGGACATATGGACTCACTTTAACAATAAAACTTATCATCCCTTACGACTTCCATGAAACCGATAATTGAAACTTCAGGGCGAACAGATTCGAGCAGAGAACACTTGCCACATATGGAATGTAAACAATTGTTCCGTACATCGGAAAACTGTCGCACGCGATGCTGTCGGTGTTTGCCAAACTGGTTTCAATCACACGTTGTGCATAGGATATTTGTAAAGAGCGCTCCAAGGGACATAACTCTATGGGTTTCGCTTGAAATAATGTTGGGCCGGTGGAGGGCGTGGGAGTCAAACGTTGCATTTAATTTATTCGAACTTTTTTAATTTTGTATAGTTTAAATACGCATCATTTTGGAATAAATTACATGGTAGCTTTCTGAGGGCTGCTGCTATTATTGAGAGGAAATGCATTATCTATTTTAGAGAGTTGTGGTGTGGAATAGCGCCTTTAATATTTTCAATCATTTCAATCATTCAATGTGGATTTTAACATAGATGAACACCAAGTGACAACAAGTTACCTCTAACAACCTTCCTCAGATGTAATACATTAAAGTGGGTGTTGAAGAAATAAATAGTGTAAATTAGATGTCTTGTGTTGGAAACAGACCTGACCTGATCACACAACACGAAAAAACATGTATTTTGTCTTTATCTGTGTAGTCATCAGATCTCTCAGACTGTACTGCAAAATGAGTGAGTGAGTGAGTTTAGTTTTACGCCGCACTCAGCAATATTACAGCTATATGGCGGCGATGTAAAATAATCGAGTCTGGACCAGACAATCCAGTGATCAACCGCATGAGCATCGATCTGCGCAGTTTGGAACCGATGACATGTGTCAACCAAGCCAGCGAGCCTGACGACCCGATCCGTTAGTCGCCTCTTACGACAAAGCATACTCGCCTTTTGAGGGGCAAGCATGGGTTGCTAAACACCTATTCGACCCAGGATTTCACGGGTCGTACTGCAAAAATGACATGCATAAGCAGTACTTGTTAGTGTGTGGTGTTTATGAAAATGTTTATTTGGGATTGTAATGAACAGTATTGATTTTTTGAACTTGATATCCGATTACATCTTACTATGTGAATGCGAATATATTGTAATATTGCTGTTGAGGATTGCTTTTCACATCATTCTGTTTTAAACCATGCCATTGTATTGCACCAAGAACTATAACGAACCACTATTCTGAATCTTTCTGTCACAAGCATAACATCATACCTACGTGAGCAGTTAAAGAGACGTGACCAAAACTTGATGTTTTTTTCAAGACACAGTGATTTAAGATTGAGTATTGCTGTCAAGAGTCGTGAAGGTCGACACTCACCACCTTTCGCTCAATAATTGGAGTGAGTGAGTTTGATTTTACGCTGTAATTGAGGGTACATGTATATAGTGATGCAGGTATATGTGTAGTTGTGAGGTACATGTATATAGTGATACAAATCTATGTGTAGTTGTGGTACATGTATATGGTGATACAGGTCTATGTGTAGTTGTGAGGGTACATGTATATAGTGATAGAGGTCTATGTATAGTAGTGAGGTACATGTATATAGTGATACAGGTTTACGTGCAGGTGTGAGGTACATGTATATAGTGATACAAAGTCTATGTGTAGTAGTGAGGGTACATGTATATGGTGATACAGGTCTATGTGTAGTTATTGTGGTACATGTATATAGTGATACAAGTCTATGTGTAGTTGTGAGGTACATGTATATAGTGATACAAGTCTATGTGAAGTTGTAGAGGTACATGTATATAGTGATACAATTCTATGTGAAGTTGTGAGGTACATGTATATAGTGATACAACAGAATCTATGTGTAGTTGTGAGGGTACATGTATATAGTGATACAAGTCTATGTGAGAGTTGTGAGGTACATGTATATAGTGATACAAGTCTATGTGAAGTTGTGAGGGTACATGTATATAGTGATACAAGTCTATGTGTAGTTGTGAGGGTACATGTATATAGTGATAAAAGTCTCTATGTGTAGTTGTGAGGTACATGCATATAGTGATACAAGTCTATGTGAAGTTGTGAGGGTACATGTATATAGTGATACAAGTCTATGTGTAGTTGTGAGGTACATGTATATAGTGATACAGGTCTATGTGTGGTTGTGAGGTACATGTGTATAGTGATACAAAGTCTATGTGTAGTTGTGAGGGTACATGTATATAGTGATATAGGTCAATGTGTAGTTGTGAGGTACATGTATATAGTGATACAAGTCTATGTGAGAGTTGTGAGGTACATGTATATAGTGACACAAGTCTATGTGTAGCTGTGTGGTACATGTATATATAGTGATACAAGGTCTATGTGTAGTTGTGAGGTACATGTATATAGTGATACAAGTCTATGTGAGGAGTTGTGAGGGTACATGTATATAGTGATACAAGTTTATGTGTAGTTGTTGAGTACATGTACAGGAGTGATACACGTCTTTGTGTAGTTATTATTAGTACATGTATATAGTGATGCAGATCTATGTGTAGTTGTGAGGGTACATGTATATAGTGATGCAGATCTATGTGTAGTTATTGAGGTACATGTATATAGTGATACAGGTCTATGTGTAGTTGTGAGGTACATGTATATAGTGATACACGTCTTTGTGTGTAGTTATTATTGGTACATGTATATAGTGATACAGGTCTATGTGTAGTTTTAAGGTAGATGCATATAGTGATACAGGTCTATGTGTAGTTGTGGGGTACATGTATATAGTGATACAGGTCTATGTGTAGTTGTGAGGTACATGTATGTAGTGATACAATTTATGTGTAGTTTTAAGGTACATGTATATAGTGATATAGGTCTATGTGTATGTGTGAGGTACATGTATGTAGTGATACAAGTCTATGTGTAGTTATGGTGCATGTGTGTATGGTGATACAAGAATCTATGTGTAGTTGTGAGGGTACATGTATATAGTGATACAAGTCTTTGTGTGAAGTTGTGAGGGTACATGTTATATAGTGATTACAGGGTCTATGTATAGTTGTGAGGGTACATGTATATAGTGATACAAGTCTATGTGTAGGTGTGAGGTACATGTGTATATAGTGATAGAGGTCTATGTATATGGTTGTGAGGTACATGTATATAATGATACAAGTCTATGTGTAACAGGTGTGGGAATTACATGTATATAGTGATACAACAGTCTATGTGTAGTTGTGTGGTACATGTATATGAGTGATACGGGTTTACGTTGCAGGTGTGAGGGTACATGTATATAGTGATACAGGTTTACGTGCAGGTGTGAGGTACATGTATATAGTGATACAAGTCTATGTGTAGTTATTGTGGTACATGTATATAGTGATACAAGTCTATGTGTAGTTGTGGGGTACATGTATATAGTGATACAAGTCTATGTGTATGTTGTGTGGTACATGTATATAGTGACAGAGGTCTATGTATGGTTGTAGGGTACATGTATATAGTGATACAAGTCTATCTATGTGTCAGTTGTGAGGTACATGTATATAGTGATACAAGTCTATGTGTGGTAGTTGTGAGGTGCATGTATATAGTGATAAGAGGTCTATGTATGGTTGTGAGGAGTACATGTATATAGTGATACAAGTCTATGTGTAGGTGTGAGGTACATGTATATAGTGATAGGAGTCTATGTATGGTTGTGAGGAATACATGTATATAGTGATACAAGTCTATGTGTGGTTAGTTGTGTGGTACATGTATATAGTGATACAGGTTTACGTGCAGGTGTGAGGTACATGTATATAGTGATACAAGTCTATGTGTAGTTGTGTGGGGTACATGTATATAGTGATACAAGTCTATGTGTAGTTGTGAGGTACATGTATATGAGTGATACAAGTCTATGTGTGTAGTTGTGAGGTACATGTATATGGTGTTGATACAGTCTATGTGTAGTTGTGTGGTACATGTATATAGTGATACAAGTCTATGTGTGGTTGTTGAGGTACATGTATATGGTGATACAGGTCTATGTGTAGTTGTGAGGGTACATGTATATAGTGATGCAAGTCTATGTGTAGTTGTGAGGTACATGTGTATATAGTGATGCAGATCTGTGTGTAGTTGTGAGGTACATGTATATAGTGATAGAGGTCTATGTATAGTTGTGAGAGGTACATGTATATAGTGATACAAGTCTATGTGTAGTTGTGAGGTACATGTATATAGTGATACAAGTCTATGTGAAGTTGTGAGGTACATGTATATAGTGATAGAGGGTCTATGTATAGTTGTGAGGTACATGTATATAGTGATACAAAGTCTATGTGTAGGTGTGAGAGGTACATGTATATAGTGATTACAACTCTATATTGTAGTTGTGCATGGTACATGTATATATAGTGATACAGGTTTACGTGTTAGGTGTGAGGTACATGTATATATTCAAAGTGATACAGAGTCTATGTGTAGTTGTGAGGTACATGTATATAGTGATAGAGAGGTCTATGTATATGGTTGTGAGGAATACATGTATATAGTGATGCAAAGTCTATGTGTAGTTGTGAGTACATGTATATAGTGATACAAGTCTATGTGTAGTTGTGAGGGTACATGTATATGGTGATACAAGGTCTATGTGTAGTTGTGTGGTACATGTATATAGTGATACAGGTCTATATGTCTAGTTGTGAGGGAGTACATATATATAATTTTGATACAAGTCCTATGTGTAGTTGTGTGGTGCATGTATATA